TCCTATAATAAAGTTTAATTTATAAATTAAGCACAGTAAGAGATTAACAACAATAACTAATAGTAACATGGAAAAATATAACACTATGCCATAATAAAAGTTATGTGACTGGGTGTGTGATAGCCAATCTGATAACTGAGACAACTACTTAGTGACTAACAGCTGAGTAGCACATGTAGTGTGGATGTGCTGGACAAAAGGATGGGTCACATCCCTAGTGGGACAGCTCAAGATTTCACCCTGCACTCAGAACCTCATGCTTGGGGGGGTTGTGGGAGCTCCATCCTGAGCCCAGAGGGACCCGAGTGGAGCCTGCGCACCTCGCGAACCCTGTTCTGGGCGTCGGGTGAGGAGTGACCCCCCGCCCCCCGCGGGCTCTGCGGCCCCACTAAGTGCCAAGGACCCTTCTGAGCGAAGGTTCGTCCTAAAAAGCGCACTTACCTCGCAAGATGAGCGTTCGGCGGGGGAGTCACAGCTGTGCCCGCTTGTGGGTGGACTTAGGGGCTTTCGGACGCTCCGATCGGAGAATAACGGGCGTCGGTTTGTTTTCCAGGCCCCTTTGTAGCCTGTACATGGACACCCGAGCTCTTAGACCCCCACAGTGATGTGCAGCGGCTGGCTGGGGTGCTCGGGTTGCTGCTGCCTCAGGGGCACCCCGTTCTCAGCCTCAGAATCAGCATGAGAACCTGAGCGTGGGGTGTCCTGAGCCTCAGGCAGGTGGGGGAGAGGGGAGACGGCGGCCGCCTCAGGAGGCCCCCACACGCGTCCTGCACTCACCCCAAGGTGCTGTGTGTCCCCTCCGCCCCGGCAAGGGGAGCGGCCATCTCCCAGGTCGGGCTGAGGCCCTAGTCGGGCAGAGAGGGTGCTGCTCCTGCCCACGCAGCCCGGCCTCCCCTTCCTCAGGCTCCTCGGCCCTCGCAGCCTATGGCCCTGAGCTCCCGGGGCCCTGAGCTGGCTGGGTGCTCTTGTCGGGGCTCCGCTCTGAGCTTGACGCGGTTGATGGGAGAACCAGTGGCCGAGCTGAGCCAGTGGATGGGTTAGCTTCCTTCCTCCCTCCCTCCCTCCCTCCCTCCCTTCCTCCCGACCTTCCTCCCTCCCTCTCCCGTTTTCTTTCCTTTCTCCCTAGGTTCCTTCTGAATTTCCCAGCCTCTCTTTCCTGCTTGCCCGCCTGGGGTGTCCTGGGCCAGGTGTGAGGTCTGAGGACCCTCACCCCCCCAGCAGCGCTCCTTTCTCTGTCCTTCTTCCTCCCCGGGTGCCGCGTCTGCACTGGGCCCTTCTCGGGACCAGGAGGCCCCTGTGCCCTGGGGTCGGGGTCACTGTCCCCACGGTGGCCGCCTGGCTGACTCTCCCTGTTGCAGATGGAGAAGGAGATGGTCCTGCCCATCGCCCACCAGCAGAACTCCGACTGTGACATGTGGGTCCACGAGTATTTCACGCCGTCCTGGTTCTGTCTGCCCGGCAACCGGTCCGCGCTGACGGTGGTGCGGCCTGGAGACTCCGCGCGGGATACGCTGGAGGGGGTCTGCAAGGTGAGGCCCTGGGGGCGTCCTGGGGAGCAGAGGCCCAGGGGTCACCTCCGCAGCTGACGATGCGGGGCCGGGCGGGGCTCCCCACATGCAGGGCCGTGTGCTGCAGAGCCACACACGTGCCGGGTTCGCACATTGTGGTGGTTCACGGTGTCTGCACACCTGGGAGTTTTTCCCTGTGATTCAGTGACGGTTACGGAAATAACTGTCGGGATGTTCTTAGTTTGGCCTTAAAAACTTATGGGGGAGGAGGGCAGGAGAAGTAAAAAGAGTATAAACACGTGGAAAATGAACTTCACGGAGGTGGAAATAACTGTCATCAGCAGAGCTTTTGGGGGGAAGAGACCTTACATTTCACACGTCTGTAGAAGCAGAGACTAATGTCATGAACGCTGGGGTCCCGTGGCTGGGGTCCCGTGGCTGGGGTCCCCGTCGCTGGGGTCCCCGTTGCTGGGGTCCCCGTCGCTGGGGTCTGTAATGATCAAATTCTGATTCCTTTACTCCCACCCCCAGCTCTGGGTTATTCTGGAAGCAGATCCCAGGCTCGTTCTCTATCTACTGTGCACTGGGGATGAGTCTCCAAATAAAAGGATGTTTTTAAATGAGTCCATTGAAGCATTTCCTGCCCACGATGCACTGTGTGCTGAAGAGCACTGTCGCTCTTTTCCCTTCTTTTTTTAAAAGATATTTTTATTGATTTCAGAGAGGAAGGGAGTGGGAGGGAGGGAGAGAGAGAGAGAGAGAGAGAGACAGACAGACATCGGTGATGAGAAAGAATCATGGATCGGCTGCCTCCTGCTCGCCCCGCACTGGGGATCGAGCCCTCAACCTGGGCCTGGGCCTGTGCCCTGACCGGAATCGAACCGTCACCTCTTGGTTCTTCGGTCGACCCTCCACCCCTGAGCCACGTGGGCCAGGCCCCCATCTTGAACACACCTGAGGGTTGTGTATGAAACCATGTTGCCGCTCTTGCTTTTTCTGCACCCTTCATCCGAAGATGAGTTTTTAGACACAGGAAACGGCCGGCCGGTCTGGGCCCGGAGGAGGCCTGGGAGCGAATCCCCGGCTTTTCCCGATTGTTCCTCCGGGCGAGTCGGCCCGCGTGTCCGTAGCTGCACACTGGGCGCTCGCGGGGGACTCCGTAAATCACCGAAATCCGAGCGGCGTCCTCGCTGGGACTCGCTTGCAGATGAGCTGCTGACACAGTCCCGTCCCCACGTGTGAAACCCACGTGCCGGGCGCAGCCTCCCTCGCTGTCCCCGCGTCAGGCTTTCCCCACGCTCCCCTCCGGCCGCCTGTGTGTGTGGAATTACGTGGCGGCCTCGTTGCTCTGACGGTGGATCTTTAAACTTGTCTTTACTGTTGAAGGCGTTGCCGGTGGCCCTTCCCGTGGCCCCTGATGGGTTTTGTTGCAAATCCCGAGTTAAAGGCTGACCTGGCTCAGGTCGTGCATCGCCAGGTGCCCACGGGGCGCGGCCTGTGTTCAGTGAGAAGGCGCTGAAGTTCGGGTGTAGGTGCAAAGCCTCCGGGACGGTGGATACTGTTGTCCTGGGACCGGACGCCGTGTCCTGGGAAATGCGCCCCCTTTTCCCACCAAACCTCTTTCCTTCTCCTTTGTCCGCGCAGATGCACCAGCTGGACCCGGCTGCCCACTACCTGCGGCTGAGGTTCCTCCTGGAGAACACACTGCAGGTCTACGTGCCGCAGCCCGAGGAGGACGTGTACGAGCTGGTAGGCCGCCGCCGTCCAGGCCCTCCGCGCAGGGGCGTAAATCCCACGGGGTGGTGGCTGGGGTCGGGGAGCGGGTTCTGACCTGCATGGCCCTCGGTCCTTCATTCGGAGTGCGGCTCCTGGGACGGCCCTGCGCGTCCCAGCCTCTCCGCGGGGTGCAGCGCCCCCTGTCTGTGCAGGGAGCCCGTGCCCTGGCACAGCTGGCCCAGAGCCGCGGGGACGCGGTCCACTCTCTCTGTAGCCCGCCAGGTGTGGTTTTCAGTTGGCGACAGACCCGCTGGCTCTGACTCCATTTCTGTGTGACTCTCCCCTCGGCTGGAACCTCTGGCTGCGTCCTGTCGCTCACTTCTGTGTCCCAGCCTCTTGTAGTGCCGTTCAGGCAGATCCCGGCCGTCACCTGTGTCTGCGTTTCTCTGTCCGAGTCTTTCCCACACCCGGGTCTCTGTCGGCGCTAACGATGTGGCGTTGGCAGGAACACGAGGGGACGCTATTCCAGGGTCCCGTCAGAGCGGAAGTGATGGTTCACACAGTAGGTGCTCAGGAAACGTTGTCACGGTAACGGCACTGATGCTTCCTTCTTGGTGGCTACGTGGTGCGGTGTCAGCCCCAGGAGAGGAATGTGGGAGCTGGGCCCCCCGCCCTGGAGTTTGTGCTCCCCTCTGGTCAGTCGTTTCTGGGGCCACGGCTGCGGGCGTGGACGTGCGCCTGGCGATGTGTCCCCGTGGGGGGGGTCACCGTGGAGAGCAGAGCCGAGAGCCGGAGCCGGGCCCCCCTCTGGGAAAGGGGACGCGCGTGGCCGGCAGGGAGTGGGGTTCTGTGCAGCCAGCGCTGTGGACGCCCGCTTAACGCCCGCCCGTCGCCAGCCGAGCGTGTTCGGCCCGTGGGTGCGGCCGCGGAGCAGCCCTGCTGGGTGGTTCTTGTGTCTATCAGGGCTTTTTATTGCTCTGAGTTTAGTCTAAGGCAGTGGAGCTCGGGCCTGTGTCGTTCTAAACCAGCGGTTCTCAACCTGTGGGTCGCGACCCCTTTGGCGGTCGAACGACCCTTTCACAGGGGTCGCCTAAGACCATCCTGCAGATCAGATATTTACATGACGATTCATAACAGTAGCAACATGACAGTTATGAAGTAGCAACGAAAATAATTGTATGGTTGGGTCACAACATGAGGAACTGTATTTAAAGGGCCAGAAGGTTGAGAACCACTGCTCTAAACGAATCGTCTGAGATAAACGTACCCACAGGCTCTGAAACCAGGTACCAAGCAGGAGGCCACCAGGCAGGGACAGGACCGTGCCCACTGGGCCGTGGGAAAACCGTGATTGGAACGACGGTGACACGCTGCCCCCTAGGGGCAGAGCGGGCTCGAGGCCCCGAGTAAGGTGAAGGCCCCCAGCCTTTTGTGGGTGTTCAGTGGTGCGACGAAACGTGCTGTAAACTCCATATGTTTGGTGTTTATAGTTTTGGAGACCGTGTTTTTGAGCTAAAGATTAGTATCAACAGATTTTTTTCGCATTTCAGAATTTATCTGTATGCCTAAGTGTCGGAAGTATCACAATAAAACCCCGTCGAGGCTTCACACTGCATTTGGGGGCAGTTGCGTTGAATTAGGGTGTCCAGCGAGCGGCTGTGCGTTCAGTTCCTCATCCTCCCCATCTCCCCCGTCCCCCTCCCACCAGCTCTCCACTCGCCGCCTGTCAGGTGCCCCAAAAAGAGGGCGGAGAGGAACGGGCGTCCCCCCTCCTCGCCGGAATCCAGTCCTTTCCAAACGAGTGGCCGTGCTGTCCGAGCCGGCCCCGAGGCTGCGGCTCAGGGCCCTGCTCAGCCGACGGCATCTAAAAACGCCGTTACTGTTATTGTTACTTTTTCCAACATTCATCCCCCCTGGCCGCGTCCTCTGAGCCGCTGGCACATGGATTTGTTTGGAGCTTTTGTCATCGATTGTGGACATGGCCATGGGCCTGTGCACCCGCAGGGGTGCTCTCTCCGCTGTTAAAGGGGCCCCGTCATGCAGGGGTGCTCTCTCCGCTGTTAAAGGGGCCCCAGGTACCTGGGAGTGAGTGAGGACCAAGGGCGAGGGCAGAACTTTGAGTGACTGTCCGTGCGATGACTGTCACAGACACGGGAGGACGAGCCGACCGGTTAATTGAAGTGAAACCTCTGACGTGTGAGCTGCGCGCGCCTCCCCTCTCCCTGGAGAGCTGGTTCAGGTCCACACGGAGTGTCCTGGGTCTCGGGGTGTCATCCGGGGGCTGAAAGAGGGTGTCCCCACCTAGACAGGGAGTCCCCCAAGCACGTGCCCACACCGTGACAGCCGTGGTCAGTTTGAGCGCCGTGTGTGCAGTAAGCACCTTCGCAGCTGTGCGGGGTGTGCACTTTGGGGGACACCCTGTAGAATCGTCGTCTGTTTCGTGCTGTAATTCGTCCACCTGTCTGTCCTGCCATGGACTTCGGGCAGGTTCGCACGTGCACGGAAGGGACTGAAAGCACCGGGACCTCCCGTCCCCGTGCCCCACGGCAGGACCGGTGCCTCTCCCTGGTCTTTCCCATTGTTAGATGTTTACTGAGCTCACTCGTTCCTACTGAGGGACTTAGGCAGTCACGTGGGGAAGTGCTGGCGCTTGGCGTCGGGGCCACAAGCTCTGTCCCGTGGCATGCGCCCTGCCACGCCCGCTCCCGCCCTGCGGCTCCAGAGGGGTCACTGCTCCCCGAACGCGGCTCAGGGCGGGCATGGGAGCAACAGGTCGCAGCCTGGGCGCGGGAGGGGCTCAGCGCACCCAGGGTGTGGCGAGGAGAAAGATTCACAGAGTGAGGCAGCCCCACACCGCCATCACTAATGGCCTGACGGCGCCCTGTCGTTCCAGCTGTACCAGGAGATCGAGATCTGCCCCAAGGCCACGCGGAGCCTGCAGGTGGAGAAGTCGGACGCGGCCGGGGACAGCTACGGTGCGTGCGTCCCCGCGGTCTTTGGTGATTCCCTTGTGGGAGCCGCTCCCCGGTGAACGTGGGTAAAATGCCTGGGGGCGGGTCAGGCCACAGCCTGCCCGGGTTCTGGGCTCGGCAAGGCAGCCACAGGGGAAAAGAGGACTCTCTGCCCCGGCCGGTGTGGCTCAGTGGATGGAGCGTCGGCCTGTGGACCCAGGGCCCCAGGTTCGATTCCGGTCAAGGGCACGTACCTCGGGTGCAGGCTCCTCCCTGGCCTGGGCCTGGTCGGGGCGCGTGCAGGAGGCAGCCAGTCGGTGTGTCTCTCATGTCGATGTTTCTCTCTGTCTCTCCCTCTCCCTTCCACTCTCCCTAATAATCAATGGAAAATGGCCTTGGTCGGGGGAGGAGTGACAACAACAAACAAACAGGAATCTCTGCGGTGCGGCCAGGACGCGCGGCCCATCCCACAGCTGTGACCCGGGCGCGCTGTGGCCACAGGGGCTGGCTGTGTTGGGAGTGGGTATCTCTGTTAGGATGCACTCCGATCCTGAGGGGAGTTTGTCTTCCTCGCCCCAAAGCATGCAGAACCCCCTCCCCCACAGGTCAGGTCAGAGGGGTCCCCGAGGCGACCCTCACATTCGCTGCCGCACGGGGCGTGGGCGCAGCCGTGGGGGTGATTCATCCAGGACGTCGCACAGGGTCTAGCAGATGAGAGAGATGTGCTCTCCTCTGAGGGGCAGGCAGGGACAGCTAGTCAGTTTGACTCGTGGATAAAATTAGTTTTATTTGAGGGGGGCCCCCCAAAACACACTCAGAAATAACCTGGGAGCTAGAAGTTGCTGTAAGAATGGAGGTCAGGATAAGAGGATACAATGATATCTTTGCGCCCTGGCTGATGCGGTCAGTTGGTTGAAAGGCGTCCTGTGTACCCAGAGGTCACGGCTCGATTCCGGTCAAGGGGACATGCCCGGGTTGCAGGCTGGAACCCCAGTAGGGGGTGTGCAGGAGGCAGCCGATCGATGTTTCTCTCTCTCTCTCTCTCTCCCCACCTTTCCCCTTCTCCCCCTCTCCCCCTTTCTCTCTCAAACCCATAAAAATAAGTGTTTTTTAAAAATGAGGTCGTTGGAACATCCGCAGGGCGTGCCTCATTCTCCATCTGAGGACCCGACACCCGCGTGGGCGGGGCCGTGGGTCGTGTGGCCCGCGTGGGCGCTGTTTCCAGGACCTGCGAACAAAACAAAGAGCATGCTGGTTATGACTCGGCCCGCTCTCTCGGGGACGCTCGGCCCGGCCCGCGTTAGCTCTGTTTTGTCACTGGCCCGTTGTGTGAGACGCGGTGCCCTGCCCGGCCCTCAGCCAGGTCGCTGCCTGAGCTGTTCCCCCAGAGCTGAGCTGTGTCCACGTCACGGTGGCCTCAGTTCCACGCGGTCCCCTTTGCAGTTCCGCCCGAGTGTTCTTCCCGAGGGAAAGCGCATGTCCTGGGCTGCCATTGGCCGGGGAGGATGTACATGAGCATGGAGGTGGCCAGGACTGGGAGCCCAGGCCCCTCACCACTCAGTGTTTGGGGCGTGTTCGGCCATTTTTCCTGAAGGGTCATCCACGCCCAGGACTGGCCACTAGTGGCTCTGAGCTCAGGACCCCGGCCACGGGCAGGCTCACCTGACACGTGGAGTGTGAGACCAGCCAGGTTCGTGTGAGGTTGGATTTGGAGGGAGTGGCTGCTGGACGCTCTTTGCAGAGTTTTAATGATGAGAGCAGTGTCCACGGGCAGCATGTGGGGTCGCGCACGCACACACCTGTGACCTCCGGGGATGAGACCCAGCCGAGGGGAGCGAGGGCTGTGCTGAGGAGGCGGCTGAGGACGGGGTGGCCGCGCCAGGTGGGACCGACACCCGGCTTCCGATGGAGTCGGCAGCCGCGTGCAGAGCGAGCCAGGAGGTTAGTGTTGGTGGGTAGTGACGTCTGTCGCCTGAACACGCACTTTCCTGCTTCGTGAACGACCTGCGGGAAACGCCGACGCTCCGATCCGCACACAGAAGGCCCGACAGACCAGCCTGCGTGCGCTCAGCGCCCAGGTGACCCCACTGTCTCTGCTCCCAGGCTTCTCCCTCTCCTCCGTGGAGGAGGATGGCGTCCGAAGGCTCTACGTGAGCAGCGTGAGGGACACGGGGCTGGCGGCCAAGAAAGGTGGGTCTTTGTGTTCTGCTTGCCTGTCTCCCTGTCTCCCTGTCTCCCTGTCTCCCTGTCTCCCTGTCTCCCTGTCTCCCTGTCTCCCTGTCTCCCTGTCTCCCTGTCTCCCTGTCTCCCTGTCTCCCTGTCTCCCTGTCTCCCTGTCTCCCTGTCTCCCTGTCTCCCTGTCTCCCTGTCTCCCTGTCTCCCTGTCTCCCTGTCTCCCTGTCTCCCTGTCTCCCTGTCTCCCTGTCTCCCTGTCTCCCTGTCTCCCTGTCTCCCTGTCTCCCTGTCTCCCTGTCTCCCTGTCTCCCTGTCTCCCTGTCTCCCTGTCTCCCTGTCTCCCTGTCTCCCTGTCTCCCTGTCTCCCTGTCTCCCTGTCTCCCTGTCTCCCTGTCTCCCTGTCTCCCTGTCTCCCTGTCTCCCTGTCTCCCTGTCTCCCTGTCTCCCTGTCTCCCTGTCTCCCTCCCTCGTCCTGTCTCCCTGTCTCCCTGTCTCCCTGTCTGCCTGTCTCCCTGTCTCCCTGTCTCCCTGTCTGCCTGTCTCCCTGTCTCCCTGTCTCCCTGTCTCCCTGTCTGCCTGTCTCCCTGTCTCCCTGTCTCCCTGTCTCCCTGTCTCCCTGTCTCCCTGTCTGCCTGTCTGTCTCTCCTAAATTGCCTCTGGGTTTCCTCTAGTTGGTGGGTGAGAAAGATCTGCCCAAATTCTCTGTAACGAGTGTGTGAATACGTGTCATTGAAAACCCAGGGGATATGGATGATATTCCACACACTCAGGTGTATCAGGAATGTCATAATCTCAGATTTAAAAAATCCCATCTAATAATAGACAAAGATTGAAATTAACCGTACCTCCGCTATGCTTCCCATTGGCTAATCAGCGAGATATGCAAATTAACTGCCAACAAAGATGGCGGCTGGCAGCCACACAGCTGAAGCGAGCAGGAGGCTTGCTTGCTCCAGTGATGGAGGAAGCCAAGCTTCCTCCCTGCTGCGGCAGGGCTCTGAGCTCCCCTCTAAGCAACAAAGTTGCAATGATAGAAGCTAAACAAACCCTAGATACATGCTTTCAGCAGGCCAGGGCCTCAGAGCT